TTTCATTGGTGCTTTGTATTTTTTATTACCCAATGATCTCTTTATCTGTTTTAAGCTTTTAATTTTAAGTTCTAATTCCTTTGCATTCCCTTTGCTTTGTTTGTATGTCAGTATCTTAACATATCTATATTTTCTCCTTTATCAATATCAGTTGGTGTTTTTTTCATCATCTTTTGTTTGTTAAAAAAACAGACAGTTTACCTTTGGATTTAATTTTCTAATCTAAGCTAAGAATCTCTGGTTTGGCTCCTGACCACTCTCTAATCTGATTTTCCTTTCTTATCATGAATGTCAGTATCCTGCTGATATTCCTGATTTCATTCTTTGCCTCTTACTTTTTTAATATTGATGGCTCATCTTTTTCCAATTTAATATTTTTACTAGTTTAGTTACTGTTTTTCCCCTCATTAATTTAAAAGTTCTACTGTTCTTTGGCCCTTAATCATATACATAGCCACTTTAATTGTGAAAAAAAGATAACACCATCCATTACATATTCACAAAAGCATATTATAAATGTGTATGTGTCTTGTGTGGGTACATATACAACATCTATATATTTTCTCAATATTTACTATATTTCCCTACTATTAGTATTATCGTGAGTAAATTTTAAATAATATAATTTTCTTTTTCTGTCAGGTGACAGATTTACCAATCTCCCTTTTCCATTTTTTTTCAACTCATAACAAATTCATACCTCTAATTCATAGGAATTACTTTACTTAATTATATTCTTTACCATATGTATTTTTAAATGTTTTTCCCTGATCTGTTGCTTGTCTTTGCCTATTGTACATCATCAAATATCTAGGCAAACTTATCAATACTTTTCCTTTTTTATTTAAATATTCTCAGTATTTACTGAGGATTGAACTCTGGGACTTCACACCAAGCTACACCCTCAAGTCTTTCATTTTTATTTTCTATTTTGACAAGATCTCCCCTAATTACTAAATTGCCTAGGCAAGGCTCAAACTTGCAAATTTTGATCCTCCTGCCTCAGCTTCTTAAGAGTGCTGGGATTATAGCCATGTGTCACCATGTCCTACCTAATACTTTATAACTTTTCAGTTTTAGGCTTTGTTTAAAAAAGTATCCAATATATTAAAATTGAAAAATAACAGTATTTTGTGTTTCTTTTCTTTTTTTTTTTTTTTTTTTTTTTTTTTTTTTTTTTTGTGTACCAGGAATCAAATTTGGGTCCTTGCGCTTGCGAGGCAGGCCACCGAACCGCTGAGCTAAATCCCCGGCCCTGTGTTTTTTGTTTGTTTGTTTGTTTGTTTTTATTTTTACAGTGTTTTTGTACTCTTAGAATATTAGTCCACACATAATTTAAACTTATTTATAGTGAGGCAGGACTCCACTTATTGATATTTTAAAATGAATTTTCATAAGTTCCCCAACCATTTATTCATAGTCAATAATTCACCACTGCCACATTTATTATAAAATAAATTCCAATACAAAAAATAGGCTGGAGTTTGGAATTCCCTCCCATCAGTCTGTCTCTTCTAGGTTTTAGCCCATACTGTTGTAACTGTTACAACTTTATAATATATTTTGAAGTACCACAGGGTGAGTTTTTCATCATATCCTCTGTGAAGTTCTTTATTTGGATAGCTTTCTTGGCTATTTAAGAATATTTTTAATCTTGCAGATATATTTTCTAATCAGCTTGACTAGTCCCATAAAACCCCAGTTGCATTTTTGTTAAAATATATTTGATTTTAGATTGGCTATGTGGAATTAACATTTTTATAACATTGATTTTTCTCATCTCATGGAGATATACATCCACTTACTAATTTCTTTTTTTCTTATTAAATATTTTTTGTTTCATTCACTTAGATCTTATACATTTCTCATTAGATTTTATTACTACATTTTTCACATTTCTTACTTACACTACAAATGAAACATTTTCTCAATTACATTTCTCAATTGGTTATTAGAGACACGTAATAAATTTATTGGGATTTGTATGTTTTTATAATAGCAACTCACCTTAGCAAATTTATTAGTTTTCACATTTTTAGAAATTCTCCACAATTTATTTCCTGCTGATGAAACTTATTTTCTAGTAATAAGCATTTACTTTGATATATTGATTTAAAGATAAAAGTTTCAGGGTTGAAATTTAACTCTAGATGTTAAACACTGCTCCCTTTTATATCATTTCATGTTACCTCTTAACACTCAGTGCTCATCCTCCAATTCGCATTCCTCATCTTTTTGCCTTAGCACAAATCAAACCATAAAAGAAAAAAACATTCTCCGGTTTCTTGTGAAATCAATCATTTTAGCCACTGACACCTAAAGGATTTAAGAGACTTGTTTAAGGTCACACCAAGTAGGCACCCAGAAAGTTGTAGAAATGGATTAGCTTCTGGAATACTCATTACAATTCCTAAGACAATGACTTAACTGTATCTCTTTTACATGTTGTATAAACTACTGCACATTGCTTTATCAATTTATTATTCTATGGAATGATTTGTGTAGTATTTTATAAATGTGTCAATCCATGCAAATACCCTTTGTTTTCAATTGCATACTTTTAAGATGTAGGAAATGATCACATTTATAATTTTACATAAGAATATAGAAAATACCTAATGGTAATTATGAAAATTGAGAATGAAAGACAATGAAAACTAAACCTTGGGCCAGGGATTTAGCTCAGTGGTGCCACCACCTGCCTAACATGCTCAAGGTCCTGAGTTTAATCCCTGGTTCTCCCTCCACCCACACACACAAAAGAAAACTAAACCTCCAAAGTGATTCAGCTTTGAAAAATTGTGGAAGTGGTAACAAAATATGGGGTAAAATGATGACAGAAAAATAAAATAATTAAACAGCTACTATTGATAGCTTAATATATTGTACTAAATATATATGCAACTTCACTTATTCACATTCAACCAAGAAGACAGTACTACTTTTCCCCTTTCCAGGAGGAGATAACTGATGTCTATACAGAATAAATTACTTTCACAAGGTCATGATATTCATACACAACAATTATTAAATGAACATTGAGTATTTTTTATCTCCAACCTCATGAACTATATTTTTTTATATGTGCTATTTTCCTTAAATTTCAACCAGGAAGATATACACATATCTTCCCATTGGCAACATTTCATAAGGACGCTCAGTCTAGTATGACATTTCGAAGTATTAACTGAGACACAAATGAATTTACTACATTTAATCATGTAATTTTCCTAAACATTTTCTATGAACATCTATATACATCTGTATACTCATAGTATACATCATCACAAATAAAAACTACAGAAAAAAATCCTTGTGAAAGAACTCTTGATGCCAGAAACTACATAACTTAATATTAAACATGTTGAGCACAGTAAGCCAAAAACAGAAAAGCATATAATATGATTCTAGTTACGTGAAATTCTTAAAAACTAATTCATAGTAAAAGAGAACAGTGGTTGTTTGGGGCTGGTGACTGATGGGTACTGACAGGAATCAGAGGAAAAAGAGAATCTTTTTGGATGGACGAAGGATGATGCAAATTTTCTCCAGAAATAGGTCATAAGTATATCTAAAATGGGTTCAGTGATTCCTTTTAACAAGGGAGAGAATTAGGGACTTGCTTTTGAGAAGTCAAGAATTAATGTTACATGGATATTTCATGTTTCAGTAGTCTGGTCAGAGAAGAACAGCAAAAAAATAAACAGTCTAGCAGCGTATATTCAATTATGATAATCTATCCAGATACATAAAGTACATACATATGTGAACATCTCAGAGATTCTGTCCTAATATGGAATTAATACAGTGAGTCATATTTTTCTTTCTAGCAGTGGACATAAGATTGTAATGAGAAGACAATTTTGTATCTGAGACATCAGAGTTTGCACATTCCCTTTTTCATTTCAGCTTTCCTCATTTTTATGGCAGAATCAGCTGCAACATTAATGGTAATGGCTTTTTGCACTCATCATTATGAGATCTTTACATTAATTCAAGGATCTCAATGTCCACCTTGAACAATGTCAGTGTAACAGTGAAACATGAGCAAGACTCATTGGAAAAGATCTGTATGTCTCTCATATAAAATACATAATATGTTTTACTTTGAAATTCTAATTATTTTTATAATACAAATATATACCTATTTTGTACAGTGATTCCTATGACATGGTACTTATCCCCTCCCATTTAATATTTTATCTATTTGTGAGAGCAAAGCAACCATAAGAAGAAAAAACTAAAAACAGTATTTTCTTTGAATTTACAAAGCATTCAGGGATGTAACATATTTGGTAAACATATAAAAGCAGGCCCAAAAGAAAGAATATAAAATAGAAAATGTTCAACTTAATTTGAACAGATAAAAAGCAAAAAAAAAAAAGTTGTGGCACAGATCATTATCATGGGTTAAAACTTAATTTAGGATTCATTTTTTTTAATTAAGGAAGTTAATACGCTGATTCCCAAGTTCCCTGTACATTTTGAAGTGAAAAAGCAAGGTTTTCCCTGTGCATTCGAAGAATACCAGCTGCCTTGCTCAGATGCTCAAAGGATTCTGTGATCCAGCCATAGCCCATCATAAAAGTTAACCACTAGTTTGACCCACAGTATTTCCAGTGTGCACATATTCTTGTTGAAACATTCATTCTGAGTCACAGAACTAAAGCCCCCAGGTTCTGCTTAAGGATAAATATCCCAATAGAATCCCCAGAAATACAAATTCCCAGGGCAGTCCTACAAGTCAATAGTGAAAAGGAATTGATTTAACACAGTGTAGTTTGGGCCTGCTACCTACGTCCCTCAGGTTACAGTTTCTCAAAAATATCCCTGCTGAGTAACTCAGTTTCTCGCCATGCCTACCTGTTCCCCTGCCATCCCACACAGGACACTGGTCTCCCAGGAAGAGAAAGGATAGCACTGCAGCATTTGTTTGCTTCAGCTGCAGTGAGAGTCATTATATGCACTTCATAAACTTTTCCATTGCTTTATTTTTTCAGATGGGAAATTAAAGTTCTAGGAATTTAAAGAACCTGCCCAATATCATTCATCCAAAGCATAGCAGAGAAAATATTTGAAGCCAACGTTCCTCAGATCTTTGTCATCTTCCTGCTACCCCGCACAGTGAGTTCTTTTCAAGTCCTACCTCTCTGGATTTCTCCAATGTGTCTTATCAGAGTTCATTGTGTTCAGCCACTCTGACTGCATATTTCCCAAAGTCACTCATTAGGCAGAAAGCACGTTTTTCCTGCTGAGTTTTCCTCTTTCTTAATGCAGGTAAATTTGAAATTTATTATCCCATGGCATACTAAGGATGTAATTCTGGGCATCAGGACCCTTGGATCCCAGTCATCGCTCTATTCTGAACACACTGCACAGCCTTGTACCACCAGGCAACAAATCAATCAGAGTATTCAATAGTGAGTGGTAAGAGGGGATGATTATCTCAAAGTTGGAGATACAATATTCTATGATTCTATTATTCCTTGGAATAGACATTTCAAGGGCAAGTGTGTTGATCATATTACTAGGTTATTAGATTTACATTCTTACTCAGGGAAACATCCATTATGCCCAATAGTGGTGGTGTCTACAACTCACATTATTAGGACACCAACCAAATGTATTTAACTTGATTTGGCCAAAATGTAACATATTGCCAAGTCCAAACAGACCCTTAAATGTCTTTTAATTGGTTGATTTGCTGAAAGCTATTGCAATATCCTTTCCTTATGCAGGCTGGGAAAAGCGATGAAGGTGATAATTGAAAGGCAGCGGGCACTTCAGGCAGGAGGCTTTGAGCCAGAAGAACCTGGCTAAGAGGCAGCAACAGTAGCCTCTAGGGGCTTTATCCTCCTAGCTGTAAAAAAAGCAACAAAACCCTGGGCCTATTTTAAGGATTCAGTAAGATAATTTCTGCTTGCTAACAAGGTATAGAGTGACCTCAAAGCTTTATTAATGTAACTGCTAAGTACCTATTTGTAAAACACTAGCTGACCCTTACCTTATCCAGTTTCAGAAAAAGTACCTTGCAGCCTCAATACAGCACATGCTAAGGTGACAAGCACATGGACTACTTTTCCAAGGATATCCTCTGCATGAGTTCACTTGCCCCTTCCATGTCACATCACAGTAAGCACTCTCCTGGTCCTTCTATAGTACTCCTTGTGAGGTTGGACAATGTAGACATTTATTAGCCACACCATGAGGCAGGAGATGGTGATAATGTATTTGTGTGCCCTTTTCCAGGTCACTAGTGAGTCAACAGTGCATCAAAGGTCTGTGACATACAGAAAAGCGTATGGCTTCACGCCAGTGAGCCTTCACAAAGGTGAGTGACCTTTCAGATGTTTGCAGAAAAATAGTCATTATTTTCGCTGTTGATTTGAGATACAAGACCAGCAATATTTGTTAGAATATGACCCAGATAAGAGATACAAACTGCTTTCAGGCAAAAGAGCAGCACAAACACAGCTGACTAAAGATGGACCTTATGAGCAAGAGTTGAATACATTCTCTACACCTCCCAGCCTCACAAAAGGGGTCGCTTCACTTGTTCAAAGATTTCCATCAAGGTTTTAGAAAACTTGACCTGGGCCTCTGTGTGTTTATGAATGTAGTGGCAGGTGGGAATGGGGAATGCCTTTGCCTCGGGAGTCAGTCTCAACTGTTCTGGTACAGTTGGGCACAAATTACAAACCAATGGCATCAGGCTATGAGAGCATTTTACCCTGGAAATATTTATCCTTGTTCTCTCACCACGAAGGGAGCTGCATGGACCTGTCTTCGCATAGCTCTATGTGAGTACAGCTGACACAATCAAGGGCTCATTTCACTGCATCAGGTCTGACCATTTCAAGCAGCGTGGGGCTTCAGCAATGTGCTGAAGTTCTCTCTCCAAAGGAGTCTTATACTCTCTGGGTGGGCTTTTCTAAAATATCTTAGATGCTTCCATTTGCCTCCTTGGTATCTACCCTCTGTGACCCAAGGGCCTTGGAAGACAATCATCTTCCCTTTAGCCTGGCAAGTTAAAGACTCATTTCAGAGTCTCTTGGAGATCTGCAGCCGATTGCAAATGACTGCCTGGTTCCAGAAAGTGGCTCTTAAATGTGTAGGGGCAGCTCTGAGACAAGTGCACCCCCTTGGTAAAAGAGGTGACAGGCCAAATCCAGAATTGCTTTTCACTCCTGGAAACACTAGTCTTTCATGTCAGAGTTTGGGTTACTTAATCTTCTCAGGACGGGAATAAGATTTCCATGAGGTGAAATCTACTGATAGCAATGGACATCCTGTAATTTCCAGTGCCAAGAAATTAATGCTGCAATCTGCATAATCAAATCCCCAGGTAAACATCACTGTTCCTTTCTTAGTACTTTCTGTCTCTTGCATTTTCAAATCCTCACATTTAACCAAAATTCATAAAAATATAATGCTTAAAAACAATTTCTCAGCCTGGGATTTAGCTCAGTGTTTCTGCCTCCTGCCTCGCAAGCACAAGGTCCTGAGTTTGATTCCCGGTACCAAAAAAACCCAATATCTACAAGGGGAAATTTAAAGAGTCTATGATAAACATTCACTGCATGAAATTTACTAACTCTGGGATAATCAGGTTTTCATATGTGTTTCAAATATGAAAAGAAATACTGCCTGAGTGGTACACACTACAAGGTGTATTTCTTGAACTTGCATTTGAACCAGATAATCTCTTGCAATATAATGTTGATTTATGTTCTGGGTTTGAAACATCTAGTGTTAAAAATTCCTTTAGGGCCGGGGATTTAATCCAGTGGTTCCACCACTTGCCTCGCAAGCACAAGGACTCGAGTTTGATCACCGGTAACAAAAACAAACAAACAAACAAACAAAATCCTTTAAAAATTCCTTAGACACAGAGAGCTTGCCATTTTTGGCCATCTTCTTACTTCACCTTAATACTTCCTCAGATAAAGAGCAAGAAATAATTATCCTTGAAGGTCACAGCGACAAGAGATTTCAACAAGGATGATGTTTCTCATGGGGTTTTGTTTTTCTACAGAGCTCAGTGAGCTAACTGGATATTGCTGGAAGAGTTTGGGAAGGCCAATCAATAAGGAAGCAGGATAAAAATCACTTTATAGGCAAGACCAGGAATTAATGTGAATACACTCCAGTATTAAGATTAGTCCTGGATTTAGTCCACAAATCTCCCTTTAGAAACTTGTTATCCTGATAAATTCCTATTCTTCCTTCTAAGTCCAGTTTAGCTGCCACCGCCACAGAGGCTTGTCTTTTCAGCGTTCATCCCACTTTCCTCTGATGATGAATGTTTTCGTTGCACTTACTACTCTGCTACACAATTGTATGTTCATATTGTTTGTCTCCTTATTAAATAATGACCTCTTCAGGTCTGAGACAGTGTCTTAATCACCTGTGTCCTCGGGAGCTCTCCGACTGCCAAGCACATAGCACATGCTCGTGAATTTTTGTTATGATAACGAAGTAATATATGTTGGCTGTACTATGAATGTGATTGCGAATCCTAGTGCCAGATGTTCTGAGCAAGCTTTAAATGAAAAACTATCACTGGAGCAGAGAAAGACAAGCAGACTTCAGGCCAATTTGGGCCCACAGATGTTTTATTGGTTTTCCTTAAAGTTATGAAACAGTTGAATCAGGTGTCAGCCAAAGTTTTAAATTTGAGAAGGTGCATGAAAAACTCTCCATTTATAACCTCGTAAGTTGCTAAAGCTACAGAAGTACCTAACCAGCAATCCTATGTGGTCACAATGGGCTGGAGCTGGCAGCAAAGGACAGGGCATTTTTTGTGTACTACTTCACCTGCCTCAGCTCCTAAATGAATTCATTGCATCTTAGAGGGTATCAGCTTCCACTGTTTATTTGGAGCCAGCTATGTGCTCCTGAAAGTGATCAATATATTTTAGGAGGATACAGAGAACAGAAAGTCAGGTGCCTTCCATGAAGTAACATAAAACTTAGGAGGAAGGTGGTTGGGATGGGAAAGATAAAAATCTCATACCCATGAAACAGTAATAGAAACATCATCCCTCAGCCAAAGAAAAATCATTACCTAAAGCTATTATTGAGAACCAATAATTCCTAGACAGAATCCATGTCCAAGGTCTCACGGGCAACAAGAATAGCTAAGAAAAAGGCAAAAACTAAAACAAAACCAGAATAAATAGCAGCAACAACAGCAAACTAAACAAAAACCCCAGAACTCATTTAACAGGAGAAATAATTTCTCTTAAACATTTTAACATCAGTCAACACCATATTTGAAAGTCTACCCTTTTATCTTAGAGACACTGCCTCATCCTCGTCTTCTTTCTTCTCTCTGTCGTCACTTCATGTGTGAAGCCTTCTCCCCCTTTCTTCTCTGATACAATTTTTTTCCAGTACATTCACTTAATCATTAATTTACCCAATGTTTATTATGGCTCACTTCTGTTCACGTTATATATTGGGAAGCTTCAGAGGTCAATAGGGTATGGTTCCTATTCCTCCCTTCCTTTTTGGCATTGTTTCCCTGTTCTGCTTTCTGGCTCTTCCCTGCCATGGCCTTCTACCATGATGTTCCTACTTTGCAGCCTGTGGACCATGGACTGAATCCCCTGAAAACAGGAGCTAAATCTAGCTTCTCCTCCTTTACATTGTGGGTGTTGGGAATCAAGTTCCAGCAATAGGGAAGCTGACTGATACAACACACAAAATGGACAGCTGATAGAAAATCTACGTCATACTTTCTGGAATGAAAAGTATTTCTGCTTTGCTATAGGAAAGCATTTGTGTTGGGAAACAAAGAAAAGTGAAGCTATAGAGAGGGAACCAAGTCTACAGAGGGCCTTGGATATAGCGCGCAAAGTAAAAATGTACTTCTTGTCATAACTCTGAAGATTCTTTTTCATCGTCTATGCTGTTCTTATTTTATCCCAAACCAATATATATGTGACATCTCATCATGGAAAGCCTTGCCCTTCAGGAATCACATGGTCTTTCAAAATGCTGCTTAGTTCTCAGAGGGGCCATTTTCTATACCTCTGACAAATTAATATAATTTCTAGTGCTTAGTGGTGTGACAGAGTCCCTACTGAACTTTCTCCATATGTTTTCAGGTCTGACCGATTCCCACAATGAAGCCACCAATGTGCTCAGATGATGCAGGATGGCAGATTCACTGCTGGGAGATATTTTACCATCTGGGTCCTAGTGTTATTCGGCATCCCTGCAGCATCTCCATGCTGCTCCTCCCAATGCCCTGAGGGTCTTTCTAAATTAGATATCAGCTTTGCAGGGCAGGGCTGTTGGCACCTCCATAGCTGGCACAGGAATAACCAAGGGCGGAGCTGATCAATTTCAGAACTTAGAAAACAGATTTATGTCCCAGCAGTATGGGAAGCCAGTCAGATGCTCTAAACTTGTGTGGATTTTCTCACCTCTTTTTCTGACTCCTTCCTAGTTTGTGGCTCAAGGGAGGCCCTGGTGGATGAGAATAAGTTTCCGTTGTATAAACGCAAGAACCACTGAGCCACCTTAGCATACCCTTGACTCCCCTACCCTTTTCTTACTGTTTCACGGTTACTACAATGCTCTCTTAACTGCTTCTTTATATCTTTCATCAACCACATACCTGTATATTGGAAAACACTCAAAGGGTAATTATATATACCCTTTAAAAAGCAATGTATATACACTGAAAAGTGTGTAAGATGGCTAACGTTTTTCAATTTTTCTGAATGACCTAACATCCTGGAAAAGGTGTCTTTGCTTAGCTGTCCACTTACGCGATCAGAAAAAGGCTAAAATTTATTTGCACAAAATTAAATTCCAGAAAAAAACATATAATGAAGTTTTAAGCCATCAACAAGTACACTGAAGATGTATTATGAAAAGTTACAGTATCTGTAGAAGGGGGAAAGCAACATTTCGCGTAGGTCTTCTCCTCAAAGAGGTTACTACTGAGTTGAAATGAAAAGTTAACAAGTCACTTGGGTTGCACTGGATGACTTTCACTATGAGAGGGCAGGATTCCCAAATCCCACACAGGAATACGGACTATACACTTGTGTGGTACTGATTCACGTCTGACATGAACACCAGCAAGAGGGAAGCTTAGTGAGGACCTACATGACCTTGGAAGGCCCCAAGAAGTGACAGCACTAGGCTGGATTTCAGAGAGTGAATGTGTTAATTGTCACGAGGTGAGGCTGAGGTATCCTGCCAAATCAGAATTACAGATACATTTATACTCTGAAAATAAAGATTTAGAAAGAGAAAGAGAAAAATATGGAGGAGCACGTAGAATTCAGAAATTTGCAGGCACTTATGCCTCCCATTTTCATTTGATATAATAATATAAAACAAATCACTCACATAAAACACCAAGCCGGTACTGTGAAATGTGACAGCATATATTTGCATCTTGATTCTAAGCTGTCAGACACCCTACTGTTTATGGGAATAATCTAAACTATAACATTCTTTTCTTTCCATCTTGGACCATGGATATGGGCAGTAGAACCCTTTGAAATATCCCATCAGAAAAAAACAAAACTGTTATAGATGGAATATATGAGAATAATATTCTATCAGAATAACAGCGGGGCCGGGGATTTGGCTCAGTGGTTCTGCTGCCCACCTTGCGAGTGCAAGGGCCCAAGTTTGATGCCTGGCAACAACAACAACAACAAAAAGAATAAAAGCATAGGTGTCCAAAACAAGACAAAGGCAGAAAACATAGGAGAGGGTAAAAATCTTAGATGTCACACACCACAGACCTTTTGGAATGCTGACTGTAATTGCATTGCAGAAGCTTCGGCTCTGAGTTGATCACAGTTCATCAAAATGCCAGTCATGAGCCAAACAATGGTCAACTCACCAATCGTGTTCTTTGCATAAGGAGTACTGAATGGTAGCGGGAGAGTGGGGTGGGAACAGATGCACTGCTACTAGATCTTCAGATTTAATTCTTACTCTGTGCCAATACTGGCTATATGACTCAGCCTCTCACTAAAATGATCCTATCTCGTAGGATTTTAACAGGTTGAATTGGAGAATGCAGTCAATGTTGTAGAGTAGCATCCATTTCATGGGAAGCACTATGTGCTTGTCCGGTAATATTTCTAGTAGGTTCAAGGCTGCTTCCTTCCCTAGAGATCTTATTACTATAGTCCTGCATTGAAATTGTTAAAGGAGCAGTTTGTATGCAGAATTCCTCTACATTTAATACAATCCAGTCTACTACACACTTCTTACTGTTAGACACCTATATTCAATTTGATCACATTGTTTCTTAGCTACTTTCATTTATACAAGCTTTGGAAACATAGTTCATTGATTTATATAGTATGTATAAAATGGCAGTATTAATTTTTATAATTACAGAATTACCATTTTAAGCATTCCTTACATAAACAGACTGAGTTACAAAAATAATTCATTCTTGCTTAGCATTCAACCCAACTGGTAAGAGAAATAAGTACACTTAGTAGAGAAGTCTTTTCTGGTTGTCAACATTTATGAAGTTGAAGTTGCATAGTACAATTTACAAGAGGAAATGGTAAACATTGGTTATTCTGGCTAAGTAGGTTTGGATAAGATCGATTAAAGATCCAGTCCCTGTAGGAATACTACTTTAGGATTTCATTTGCTATACTGGCATCTAGATTCTTGGGAATTCAGCTCAAATTGTCGGTTTTAGAGAAAAGTCTTTGATCTGATTTATTATCACCCATTCTCTTAGAGATAACATTTTGGAAACTCGAATCTATCAAAAGGTTTATTGCCAATCTCAAGATTCTAATTTTCAGGTTAAGCCTCCTTCCCCTCCCTCATCAAGGACCTGGTTCTCTTTGTTGTCACTACTTTTGTTTTTGTTTTTGACATGTGATCTCTTTATCAAGCCTAGGTTGGACTCAAACTTCTGGGCACAGAGATTTCCTTGCCTTAGCCTCCCAAGAGACTACAGATGTGCGCCAATGTGCCAGGCCACTTGGCTCTCTTTATAAATTACTATGCTCTTAGCAGCTAGTCCTTAGAGCCATCCCCTTTCATCTCTCCTATTCAAAGGGCTTGCTAAATGATTTCTATCTAATCTCTTCCTTCCTATTTTAGGATAAAAAGTTAACTGAAATTTATAATTTATTTTCTTCTATGCCATTTACAATTTATCTACCAAAATCACAATAAATTAAAAAATCATTCTACATTTCTCTTCAGGTGGCTACTTCAGATTGTAAAGAATCATTGGATAGGACTCAGAAGACAACAACTAATCCAATTTTCTGAAACGTAAAGAAAACCACCTAGAAATCTGCAGTGCTGAGTAAGAAGTATAGGGGCAGCAGCCATAGGGCCCATAATATTTGGGCCAAGGGAAGAATGGTGAATTGATTACAGCCCACCTCCAGCCATGGGTGGAAAGAGCCTTCACAGTTGCCTAGTGCTCAGGAGTCCATGTGAAATAGGAAAACTTCAAAAGAGGCAGGGGCACAAAGCTCTTATGTTTATACAAAATAGCAAAAGTAATGCTCCAACTTCTAGAATAAATTAATCTTTTTCTCCTTATTTCATTTCATAAATAACTACAGAGTATGCATAGCTGTGAAGCAAGCTCAGAATCATTTTCCTTTAGGTCAATGGTATGTCTTTCTTTCTCAATTAAAACCAAAGAACCACCAGATTTTATGAGTGGCATAATTAACAAACAAAGTAAAGGACTGGGGATTTAGCATAGTTGTACTGCTGCCTGTCTTACAAGAGCAAGGTCCTGAGTTTGATCCCCAGTACCAATGAAACAAAACAAATAAGTGAAAACCCAGCAAGTTCCTGTGTCTGTGAGGTGAGCTCTTAGATGTGAGAGAGCAGGCACCACACTCTATTCATTCTTTTTCACAAAGTTATTAATAGCCTCTCTTTGATAAATATTATTTAAATTAGGAATGGCTCCTAATTCTATAAAAATTATTTGGAGATGAGTACAAAGTTTGTTGACTAAAAACACACAATGAGTAAACACTGAGTCCCACTGCTAGAATATCCCCAGTTTTTTAACCTGGACTGAAGGCATGTGTGACAGCCAGTGAAAAGGCTTAAATATCTGCAGCACATGTGTTTACTATGCAAATAAACTATCATGATGCATAAACAGGGAATGCAGCTCCTCAAACATTGTTCTAGAGAAGCCTCAAGTTAAAAGAGGAAAAACAGAAAAACTCATGAACATGTAACAGCTGTTAAAAGTAATTTTAATATTGGATCTTGATTATGAGATTGCACAAGAAACAGGACTTTTTATAAACTCAGATTCCCCTCTGACAAACATTTATTGTGTTTTGGACCAGGAAACAAAATAGAGATAAATGACTTCCCTCTTTCCCCTACCACAAGTTTTGAGTTATAAATTATGAATTATACTCCAACAGATAAATCAGAGAGGAAATTAATTTAAGAGATGAGATCTATTTTGTAATTCAGAAAGCTGTTTTATTTTAATTTGGGGGGCAAATTACATCTCGATGCTCAGCTTTACCAAACATCTTTCTTTGTCTGAAACGAATTACAATTTTCCATTATATCTCTGAGGAGTCCTAAGATGTTTATGCTAAAATTCAGAAGGTAAATTAGCAACACAGTTTCAGCCATTTGGAAAATACTGTCTAGTAGAGCTTTCTATGATGATACAAGTGTTCTACTTTTGTACTGCCCAGTATAGTAGCTGCTGGCCACATGAGGCTTCTGGATACTTGCAGTGTTGCTAGTTGGATTTAAGAGATTCGTTTTAACTTAATATAAAATTTTAAAGTAAAAACGAATCGCCCCATATAGCTCATGGTTCTAGTGCTGGACAGTGTAGTCTAGAAGATCAGAGGTTGGAGGACCTTCCCCTCAGCCAATTAGAGCAAGCAGCTGTATAGGTTACCCTTTGTAAACTGATACTGCCCCCTAAAATCTCAATGCACCCTTTGACAGCTTAGCTCTGCAAAGCTCTAAACAAAACTCTCAGGAACTTGTCTGAGCAAATATGCACATTAACGGGATCAAAAAGACAAGGAACATCAAAAGTCAACCCTGCATCTCCCTCTACCAATTCATGGGTCTCCCTGCTGTGACACCACCCCAGTGCTTTGTCAGGGATAGCTTCAAAACCATGCTTTCCATGTCATGGAGTCAAGTGAAAAGAAGGAGTAGAGCAAGAGCATTCTAGACAGAGGATGTGCAAAAATACTAACATAAAATCCTGCAACTGTGCATAGGAAGAGATATGACGTAAAAAGAAATCAGAGGTATATTTTGGATTATAGAGAATCTGGAGTAAAAAAATATGCTTTGGCATTACGTAGAACTCTTCCTTCTTCACCACGGAATGCATAGTTACTAATACTGGTCCCCAAAGCAATCAGTTACTTCCTAACTCCACTCCACACTTCCACTTATTTTACTGAAGAATACCCTGTCCTTTGTACCTGTGTATTCTTTGTTAGCATCGCTTTATCTGTATGCAACTTAAAAAAAGTGAAGAATTTAGGAAACATTCAATTTTAATGACATCTCCTGAGACAAAAAAAGAATTCAGATTTTTTATACCATATGCTTTGTCCCTAGAGATGTTGGCAATTTTTGAACTTAAGTTACTTCCTGTTAATAGCATTTTATCAGCAAAGATTGTTTTCCCCATAAACACATACCTGGAGGAGCAGATCAGAAGATGGTCTGACTCGTTGTTGGAATAGGATGCTTAGTGTTCGGTTCTGCTGTTCCAAATCAAACACTCTGGTTTTCAACTTTACACATTCCTCCCTTAGATCCTACAACAAACACATTGAAAGGAAAAAATTCTACCACTGAAAAACATCTTTGCATATTATAACCACATTATATATATATATTTCAGATACATTAGTAAAACATAGCATTTTTTATTTTTCAAAGCCCCCAGAAATAAATCACAAACAACATTTTCTTCCACAGACCATTGTCTGATAGAATTATTATGTGCAGGGAAGACCAATTTTAAAAAAAGCACGTTGAATTCAGAAATGCATTAATGTAGCATGCTATTTTTGAAGACGGTAAATCTCAGCGATATAAAGTCAATTTAAGTTTCTACCTATACATTTTGCTTTTTCACTGTCTTCATAACAGCAATCATAAAGTACAAACCACAAGAACAACAATATTTTTGCAGTGAATAGAGATTTGATGAACTAAAGAAACAATAACTTTTGATGGGGGTCTTTGGATTTCATTTGCGGAAATGAGCTGAGATTCTCAGCACTCTGGCTATTAGAGTCAGTGATGCATTTAGTAAGAAAGGGGTCAACGAAGTGAAGGTTTTTAAGAGGCCACTTGTCACTCACCTATCCTCTGAGCCAGTGGATTTCTGTATCTTCACGGGGGTTTTGGTTTTTGTGCCAGGGAAGAAGTATAGATAGCCCACCTCAGCAACATTTTAAAGCAGGGTTTTTGTTTGCCTTGCCTTACTGAGGCTGATGCATGAGGCCTGGGGCTGCTGTGTTGAGTAATTCCACTACAAGATAAACTATTCTCCAGAGCTGACACATGAGCGGGAGGATTTCCTGCAAGTTCAAGTTACTGCCTTTCTACCTCAACTGTGATAAAGATATGTGTGGTATTTAAATGTCTTCACCCTCTTTGATTCAGTAGAATATGCCTCAACTAAAAGTTCTTCAGAAGCTGACCCTTTTCTACATTTCAAAATTTTGTCATTCACTATTTCCCAGTGTTCTAAGAATGTATTCTGCTTGCACAGTACAGAAAACTAAGCTCGGTTTGATGTTCTTGAAAGCTCTGCATTTCTGCTGGCCTCTTGCCTTTTCCACCATTACCTTCCCTTCTTACCCACAGCCTTCTTAAAGACCATGTTTGGTCACATGACTGAAGTCCAACCCAAACTTTATTACCACTCTGCCACCTTCCCTGGTATCCCCCAAAGTCTACTCGTTTCTCAAACTTCACTAAGTACTCAATGCCTCCTTTACAATGTTTAGCTTACCCTCCTTGGTACAGATTTCATTATTTGTCCCCTAGATTTTTCTTTTTTACTACATGCCACATACCTCCACAGAGAGGCACAAGAAGATTTCAATATAAACAACCACAGAAGCATACCGCTCTTACATTCTTTACATTCCAACAACCTGATGATGAAGACAAATTGTATTTTGTAGTGATTGGTGCGATGCAAAGTTCCAGTTTCTCAACACTTTTATTTTATGGATCTCTGTATTTTGACATGGGGCAGCTGTACGCATCAGTTAAGGCTTGTAAATAAGGGATAGCACCAGCAAGAGCTCTGATGCCCAGCACCTAAATAGTAGTGCCACAGGTAAGTGGGTTTGTGCCATAACCTTGTGTCAAGCTCCTGTGAAACCAAGGAGGTCTAGCTGCCAGGTTATGTGTGAGCCTGTACTACAGTATTATTTCTATGGAGAGGAAGCAAAGAGACAGGCCACCGTGTGGCTAACTGCATAGTCTGTATGTTTCTCACCTGTTTTAGTTAAATGGGAGATGCTCACATGCAAGATGTTTGCAAATGATTTGTGGCCTGCAGTGTAGGGCAGAGCAAAGAAACAGCATGTTTGGGATGGTGCTCCTGGGAATAAGACCCAGAGAGGTGGAAGCAGGAGTGTACATCTGAACTTACTTATTTAGCAGAGGCCATCCTGGGGCCTACTTCTTACACAAATTAAAAGCCTAAATTTGCTTTCTCTAGAATTCAATCTCTGCCTTCCTCTCACTTATGCTAATTTTTGCTCTTAGCATGTGAAAACACTCTGTGTTCCCAAACACTAATTGTTTTCACTACTACTAATTAAGTAATTAATAAAACTTGACTGTAGGGTAGATAAATATTAATACTATCTATTGGTTGAGAAAACACAGTCATTCTCATTTTCAGGTAGAGACACAGAAATGAAAACATACAGGGGTGGATTTGTAAGGAAAAGGGGGACCTGAAAGTAATAGCACTCACAACAGCAGCAAAATCAAAGGAAATTTCAAAGGGTTAAAATAAGAAAACAGAAAGAAGAAACTCCATGATCAGCATTGTTACTTACGGCATAGTAAAAGCTCATGAGTTGGAACACAACATAGCAATTCTGGGAGCTCTCAGCTCATCTAGCCTCAGCCAGCTGGTCTGATTACTGGTAGTCAGACAAGAATTGCTTGTATTGTTTCTGATAGTGTCCTGTGTTCACTCAAGCAGCGCATGGTCATTGTGCCTGATATTTTCTATTCCATATGTGCCCGTGTGTCCACATATGAACACAACCGGAGTGTGCACAGAGAGAAAAACAACTCAGACTGCTACTAGAACAGCCGGAAAGAAGTGGAGGCTGGCTGTCTTCACTTCCCTGTGCTCACAACAGGAGCCCACCAACATAAAGGAACAGAGGAAACACACAGACTGGATACCAGAGCAACCCTTCTGACTCTCAGTTACAGGGCCAAGACCTAGAAGAGCCTGCCCAGTAAAGCTGTAGAAATGAAATATATTTCTCATTTATATGCCACAGTCTGAGATCATGGCTCCAGGCAGAAGCTGGATCATCTGTTCTCTCTCAGAACCATTTTTTGGATGACTCCCTAACTATGTCTCAGGCCTTGAGAGATGGCCCTAACTGAAAATACAAGGTTGTGCCTTTGGATATAAAAAGGGGGATACCATGTTTAACTTTTCCACGGGGAAATAATGTTAAAGATTTGACCGCATTTGAGAAAGTACAACTGCCTTTGGGTTTAGGAAAACAGCCTGATCCATTATCCTTGCACTGAATGTGTCACTGTGAACTGGAGACGAAAACCTAGGTGTTGGTTTCGAGACTGAGCAAGGTGACACACTGGCCTATAGGGTGACTATCTGCCTTAATGATCTCAAACCCTAATTTCCTTGGAGGAGCCACACATTGGAATCCAGGTAAACTGCTCCTGGGCTGAAGAGGATTCTGGACACACTGCTATATAATTCCTGTGGGAGTACAGTTATTCCATGATTGTAGAAAGCAAAACCATTACCAGGTATGGGCTGAAATCAACTTAAGAAAATGCTGATAGCTTCAAAAAAGGATATATGTTAACATTATTACTGGAATCCTGTTGAAAACTATTTAAATCTGACTTTATCATCTGAAAATATTATAACAGCATAGTTAATTCAGAGGCAGTGTCTATCGTAGGTATATTGCAGACTATAGGTAGAGGGTCTGCATTCTGATCCACCTTACCCACATAACCTTGAAGAAGTAAATTTTTCTAAATAGGTCTCAATTTCCTCATTGGTAAACTGAGGTAAGGCATAGAATTGTTTTTTATGTTTCTAAAGCCATCAAATATTTCACCTGCTTCATAGGTAGCACGTCAGGCATCATCTTGTTAGTTCCCCGAAACCTAACAGCTGCCACATTCACCAGCCTCTTGTCACATCTCCAAGTAGGGGCTTAAACTGCTATCTACAAAGGAGACTAAAACTTCTTTACAAAGTAACATTTCTGAGAAATGCTGGTCACTTCTTATTCTAACCAAAGGCCTCAAAGTCACTCATTTATTACTGTATCAGGACACTGCTAAGGAAGTAATGAGTCCTACGCCAGACAGGACACTGCAAGTCTTCATCCCAAAGGTCTTTAGATGTTCAACTATTTTTAATCTGAGAGGTGGTGGAACAGTTTCTAAGAATTAGCAAATTGAACCCTTACCAAAGCTAGCTGACAATTTCAGAATTACATATTGAAAGGTCCCTATCTGGCCATGGTGAAATTCTAGAGTCCCAAATAAGGTCAGTGTTGAGAAACTTTGACTCCACAGTTACAGTTTTATTCCAAACATTTCAGAGCCTGGATGTTCTTGCTGGAGAGGGCCAGCAATGTTTCTGAAAGTTTGCAGAAGTCCACTGACTCTTTTGTTCTTTGTTTTATTACCTGCAAGCATAACTAATCATTTGGTTTCAATCTCTGTGCTGGTTTCCATTGAATCCCTCTCTGCTCCTTAGACCTACAGCAGGGAAAACCTGTGAGCCACCGAATGGTACTGTGAAGGAAAAATAGTGAAGGGGGGTAACACTGTGTATGGGTTCCATCACTTCCTAGAAATGGGAAAATTTTTTTAAAAAATCTTCTTATTCCTACCTTACAGGGTTAAAACAGGAATAGAATGACTTGGTGCATTTTAAGCACTGAATGTGGGGTGTGACTGCTTATTAATGCCCAACAGATGTAAACAGAGCTCTTTCAGGAACCAGACTCCACACAGACCATGGCTACAGCAGTGGACACAGATGGTCCAACTGCCTCTCCTACAAGGGAAATACGGAGGAGTATGGAATTCTGTCAAGGTACAAAACTGTTTTGTTTTCTCTGAATGATTGTACTGCCGGATTCTTTCCCACGTCAGCTCAGTTCCATCTTGGTGAAGAACAAAAAGCTATATAAATGTCTCGTTACTGTACTAACATGCAGATAAGGCTGAGTTCGTTGATTTGGAGGAAAATTAACTGTAGGAAAAATGCTTTTCTTCCAAGTTTGGTGTTTATGGCCAAAACACTGAAGATGCTAGGGAAGGGACGTTTTTAGATCTATTATGATTTAATGATAATAAAATGTATTTCACACAAAAACAGGACTTTAGCCTGAATTATTGACTTCACTTGCATCTATAGACATGAGCCTGTGATTTGGAGATTTAAATGAAAGTGAGCTGGATTTCACATTGTCAGTTTAGCATTACTGATTTAAAGGAGTAGAGTTAGATCTTTTAATTGATTACAGAGGTTTTGATGATAAACTGCATTACCTGAGCAGGATTGTATACACACACATACACACACACAAACACAACAGGAAATGATAAAGTTGTTTTTCCTCAGTCATTATTGGAAGACTCTGACTTACTGGTCTGGGCCACTTGGTAATATACCAGATAAATGCTTTTTTGGTTGCCCACTGAAGAGCTGAAGGCAAGGAATATTGCCTTTGTGTCAGAAGAAATGATACATTTGAAAACTGAAGGGTTTGGCTATAATTTCACTTCATGAAGTCTTGTGTATGTATGACTTGGATAAATCATTCAAAATTTTGGGTTTTACTCTATGCTAACTGCATCCCTCTTTAGAAATAGTTTTCTCATGTGCAATTGGGTACCTTTTATTTTCTATATTGTGCTCTTAATTGAAAAGAAGTTTTTGTCTTCTTGAAGCAATTTTACATCCCTAAAAACACCAAGAGGCACATGCTTCTCAGAACATGGTTCTTTTGGAATCTCTGAAAGCAACCAGCCTCTCTCCCCAGCTTCTCGCATCCCTGAGGTACAGTCTCACAGCAGCAGGTCTTTCTCTCTTACTGCTTAGTGTACCAAAGTAGATGTACCTGTGTACTAGCTATTACTTGGAGTAAGGTGCCTTTTCTGTGGCTGGCCTGAAGAGCCCTGTTTTCCTTTTTATTGCACCAGACGATTTCTCTGTCTTTTTCCTGAGGCACAATTAAAGACACAGACGCGACAATTATTTCATTAGTTGCACATACAGCTGTTATCAGCTCTCTTCCTTAGTTTTACAATAAGTAAAGTTTCCAACAGGAAGAAAATAATTGAAAAATTAAAGCCTTTGAAAGAGAAAGGGTATTCAAATATATTATGGCACAATTTGTGAATTATCCTGTAATATTTTATTTTCACATCTTTTATAGTAATATGACAAATACTTTTCAGATGGGCATATATTCAGCATAAAGACTTCTTTATCAGCTTCCACAGGAGTGGCTGTACAACTGAGCACTCTTGGAGGCCATGTCAGTAAGGACGTATTAAAAGGTCTAAGAGCCCTCCTTAAAAGAAAACTAGACTATGCTCTTATTTTCCTTGTATTCTTTACCTTTGTTTGGTTGTTGTTGTTACTGTTGTTTTGTTTTGTTTTCTTCTGACTGTTAGAATATGGGTTTGATGACTAGAGGAAGAGCAGCTCATTTGGACTATTAGAAGGCCCTAGAGAAGCCAGAGACCCTATGGACTAATAGCTACCAAATCCACCTTGTACTGACTACCTGTAAGTTTATATCTGAGAAAACTATAACATCTATTACATCTTAGATTATTTAAACCATCACTCTTTTGCCTCTCTGTTACAATGGAACCGTAAGTCTAACTCTACATAAGTGTACCTCAATCTCTTTATTTATGCATTGTTAGTATAAAACCTGAAGCAGTTAAAATTATTTGTAGAAAGAGACATGACATTTTGACAGAACAGGAAAGAAGTCTAGCAAAAATGTTACTACAATATCTGTACAGCATGTATTCAAATAATATTTAAGTATTTCCATGAGAAGCAGTCAAGCACTGATAAAATCTTTTCAAAAAAAATTTCAGGATGGCCAAGATTTGCTCATTAGTTAGATGAACATGCTATGTGATCTGAGTTTTCTTTTTGGTAAGGAAAGCTCCATTTCACAGAAAGAGAAATTCGGAGAAACAAAATCAGAGGGGCCTAGAGTTCAGCTTCTGAGAGGTATTACTGCAAAAGACAGGGCATATCTAATAAGTTCATCAAACCAGCCAAATATAGTCAAACAATGACATGAGTTTTCCCACTCTGGCCAATAAACGTGGACTTACATTGTCTGCAGGGACAGTAGATAGCAAAAAGGGAGGTATAGACATTTCATGCACAGCCTCCACCATTTATTTTATATTTACCACAAACTGACTCCTAATAGAAATGCTCTATGTGCCTCCTCTCATAGAACCACAACAATCTGGGGTGGGGGACTTGTTATTTCTACTTTATAGAAAAAAAAAATCAAGACTCAGAGAAATGAAATCCCTTCTTTAACCTACAAGACCTCTTGCTGAATTTTAGGCTCCTTTTAAAACTGTTCTCAAGAGGACATTCATTTCATAGAAATCATAAGAACCCACCACCATTTTAAAGTTTGTATTCACTCAGTGAAAATAATGGGTCTCTTATTCATTTGGGGGACATGGACAGCTTTCATTTTTAAAAGACTTTTAAATATTTTCTCCAGTCTGATTTTTACAATTCTATTGGATATTATTGTTGCTACTTCATAGGCCACATAAAATACACGTGGTTTTAGCCTAAGTGAATAAATAGAAAAGAATTGCATCTATCAATCACAATTTTGTAGTTTGACAATGTGAATTGTAGCCTATTCACATAAGTACTTAGGAAAGAATAAAGGTAAAAAGTGACCTACCTTTTGAGTGAGCAGAGCTTGAACAACTTGGTTGGCTACCTTTAAAAAACAAGGAAAGAAAGTTACCATTTATAATAATAAGACTTTATACACATAAACTCTAATTTACCAATAAGTTTCACAGAGCTTACCGTGGCTAATTAGCTCATTTTCCTCTTTCCTCTACTTCAAGAAAATCTTACTCTTTTCATAATAAGCCTACCCTTGTAGGTAATACTTTGCTATTTCCAAAGGTGTCCTTGTTGCTAATTAAGATGGTTCATCTGGAAAGATCATTCATACCTTGACTTTCACATTTCCATATTTCGAAAAATAATATCCTTTCATATGTAAAGTACCCCAAAAAGGCTAAAAAATGATACAGCGCAAAACACACTCCTAATTATCTGTACATAGCTTCTATATTTTGCTGATTTACAATATGATACAGCGCAAAACACACTCCTAATTATCTGTACATAGCTTCTATATTTTGCTGATTTACAATGTCCTTTGCCTCTCCTTCCTATTTCTTTCCTAGCTCTTTCACTGCTTAAAATTACTTGCAATAAAGCTAAATGGTCAAGACAGAGGAAGATAGTCTCCTGTTTTCATTGCTTCTCTCTTCTGTTTTCACTTATGCCATCCTTTTGTGGCTGGCAACTGTGTACTCCAACATCGATTTTCCCCTTCTTCCTCAGTAACAAACCCAATTTTTTTGCTGGTTGCATCCAACTATATTTCACTGTCTCCTATGTAGCTACTTGTCCCCATGTAACAAAGTGCTAATGAGATACAACTGGACTATTTTCTTGGCCTTAGAAGATGTCTCTACAAAGAAGGAGGCTTGGCTGCCACCTTCTTCCTTTTCTCATATGGGGCATGAAAGTGAGGGCTGAAACTTCAGTAGCTGCTTTGACAATGGAAGTCAAATACTGCAGATGTTGGGGCAGAAGAATAGGACAAGCCTGACCTTGATGATATCATTGGTTGTATTGTTTTTTTCTGAACTTCCATGTCTATTATTTAGAGTTCCTTCCAATATACAACCAAACGTAACTCTTTCTAATGTATTAACAGAACTCTAATCTTCTTTAGGCACTAGGCAATTTAGGACGCAGGGAAAGCTGGGCTCTTCCTCAGCCCAACAATGTGAAACTTGATTAATCTATACTAATCTTGCCAGTATATTGCTTTTCAGGGACTAGTTTAGGAGAGGGCACATGATGCTCTTCAAATTAAAGGCTACCAATATCAATGTGATAGTTCAAAGACCTGGCATTCTCTCTACATAACCATTCATTATTTCTATATATATATATTTACATATATAATTTTATATATAGTAATACTTTGGTTCATAAACACTTGCTTGTCTTTGTTTTTTGTTTTGGTACTAAGGATCGAATTCAGGACTTTGTGCTTGCGAGGCAGGCAGTGGCACCACTGAGCTAAATCCCCAGCCCTTTGCTTGCTTTCAAACAATTTAGTTTGCAAAACTTTCCTTCCATTTATGAACTCCACATCAGATGAGGACCATGACCTTGGCCATCTTTTCTGCACACACACAAATTCAGCCATCTTCTCTAGCACTGTGGGATGAATTAAACTTGTGAACCACATATATAAATAGATGACACAGATACAGATATAGATATATATAGAGAGAGAAACTCAAACTTCATGATAACCTTGAAGCTGTGTACCTACATGGTTACTGCTCACATCAACCAAGGGGAGGGTAAACTAATTAAATGATGCTCCTCACTGTAAACACTATGAAAATGATAACATTAAAGTGAGTTAGAATACTTAAATATCTTGACATAAGGTGCTTCTCTGCTCTTTAAAATTTATTCAGTATAAATTTTCTACACTTCTATTTGGCAGGAAAAGCAACTGGGATTTGGTACTATAACTGGGTGTGGTTTAGAAATTATAATTATACAATGATAACACAACACGTTATGCATGTTACCACTATAGCGAGTCTCATACTCATTCCAAATTTGTGAGACATCTTTTTCTCTTTGTGACAAATTTATTTTTGGTGGTATGAAATTATTTGTGCTTGTTTCTGTTAGGTGAAAAGAGCTGAAAACCACAGTTTCCCTGTTTGGTATAGTGGAACAGATTATAGTAAGAATATTTTCATGAGCTTAATTGTTTCTTGGCTCAATATTGACAAAACAGCACATCCTTGACAACAGTTGGCTACCAAAATTTTTCAGACAAAATTAAAACACAGGCTGTCATCAACTTTTGATTAAGAGGCATTCACACCATAAGCAGTAAATGGCTAGAATTAGATTACCCCTAATTTATTATTCAAGAGGAAATTTTTCCCCATCAGAAACTTTCCACACTTACTTTGTTGATGTTAAATAAAAAAGAAAGGCTTTTTACTGAAAATAACTACAGTTTTGGAGAAAAAAGCATTCTTAGATATTTTTTTTTCGTGAAGTTAAATTTCAAGAAGCATACCCAGAAGCTGCCATATGTAAGAATAAACCGCACTTTCATTAAATGGTGCTTTAGCTTTCCTTTAACTCTTTATACTGACCACAACAGTGAAAAGTGATTCAACCCACACAAATCTTTTTAAACATTTCATCCAATTCATTAGTACCAGAGAATTTAAAGTCAAACAATACATCATCTGTTTTATTGGTGGCTAATAAAACAGAAGAATTGAAGTATCCATGCAGGTTGAATCAGGAAAAATGCACCAAAGTTAATTCATACCATAAATAATTTACTTTTTATCTCAAACTTTGGATTTGATTTATATTCTCATAAAACTGCCTAATATCAATATTTTCTTTTCTTCCTCCAAACTGGTTGCTCACTGAAGTCATTCTGTGTAACAGTGGTCACATAAAATAGCTCTAGCCATGATTTAATAGGAGACACAGAGTAATATCCTAACTGCAACAGCCCACAGGAGGAAATGTGTTATATCTTTGCAATCCAAGCACTTGCCCTATAGGCTTATGACTCTATATTTGACATAGTTCCTTTGGGCATGTACTTTGGACAATTGTTTGCTCTACCTGAAAATTGAACAAAGATACACTAATACATTATTTCTTTACCTGCTGACATGGTGTTATCTTGCCCAGAAGGACTCACAGATTCTTTGTTGAAGAGCAAGTAAACTGTACAAATGCTTTGCTCCATATTGTCTATAAAGACAGTGTCCTAGGTTTTGTTACTACATTTAACAGCCAAGCTTCCCAGATGCTCCAATAGAACAGTCGTTTGAAGCTTGTGCTTGCAACCTCTAATAGGCTCACAAGATAATACCTGGAATGGGCCCCTCCCCATAATGTTCCAGCAACGTGCCCTGAGCATTTGGATTGCAAATAGTCACACACCCGCTCACCAGCAGGGCCAGCTAATGAGAACAAATAACTTTCAGTGTCCCCTGCCAGCTTTCTCGTCAAAGAAAGGAAAAATAGCAGCTGGGTTGTGCCAGAGGGACTTGAGACACACACAGATCAACGATGACAGCCCTTAAGTCTCTGGCTTGTTGTTACAACTTTCCCCGGTTCTCTGCAGACCTCCCCACTTTGCTCCTAGGAGGCGAAGCTGGGTGGCAGGTGAGACAAGATGCCCAAGAGGACCCCTACCCATAGCTTGCTGCCTTCTTACTAAGAATTCTGTCAGATAAGCCAGCTCCTCTGACACCTGCTTGATCTCTTGCTCATATAAGACTTAGTTAGCTCTTCCTCCCCAGGCTTTCCAGGCTGCAGTCTCCCAAGGCAATTTTCTGGGAGTGGAGGCAGAGGAGAAGGTGGGGCTGCTGAATGGTCTACTGTTTGATTTAAAAATGTCTTCTTAATAATCCTCTGTATTCTGTTTGCTAGTATCTTATTAAGGATTTTTGCATCTATATTCATTAAGGAGATTGGTCTGTAGTTCTCCTTTTTGGTTGTATCTTTCTCTGGTTTGGGAATCAGATGGAGGAGGGGGTGAAGGGAGGGCAGAGGTAAGGGGAAAAAAATGAGAATCAAGACTTGCCATGTAAAGGTACATGATCCCAACAATGAATGTAACTGTACTGTATCCCTAAATGTACCAATAAACTCAATAAAAAAAATAAAAATAAAAATAAAAATAAAAATGTCCCTGAGGCTGAATGAACTCAGAGAGGAGCCATTCTGGTAGAGCGCGGAGTGGAGTGCAGGAAGCTTCAGGATGTCACTGGTGGGTGTGAAGATCCCCAAAGGCCTCATGCTCTCTTCGTTGTGCCTGCTTTGTTCCATACCATGATATCCTATTTCATTAAGCAAAGCAGAGGTCATATTGGCCAAAAACAAGGCTTTTAAAATGTGCGTTCGAAGAACTTGTTATGTTTCTGGCTTGGTTTACTGTACTGAGCCAGCTGGGGGAAAGGAGAAAGAATACTGGGTCAGAATCACATGACAGACTTGGGTTCACAGACTGGTGTTATGCTCCGACATGCATGGGACTGGAGGAGCAATGCATACACGTGGGGAATTGTCCGTCTCTCAAGTTGTGACAAAGGCATGAGATTAGAGATATAAGAAGAGAGACCACCAAGGCAAGGCCTTGGTAGCCCCTCCATGAAGGTTAAGCATGAAGCAGAGAGTTTGGATCTCAGAGAACCCAGTGCCTTTCCAGGTAGGCAGTTAGAATAGAATGGTCTAAAAGGATATATTGGTAAAGGAATAACTATGTGCGCATATTTTATACATAGAAATCCTGTAAGATAAAATTAAATAAATAATAAACCCAAAGAACTAAACACATGCCCCAAATACCACAGGATGAGGAGGGTTGTGACAATGATGAAAATCAAGTCTTCCTAATCCAAAGCCCGTACATTCTAATTTTACTCGGTCATATCTACAATCTTCTTTTCAGCTGATTTGGCCTTTGGATTACCTTTGGGGTTAGGCATAATAAATGACTGTTCATTTCTGAGGAGATAACTGAAGAAATTATTCTAAATACATATGTGGGGTTTCAGGAAAACTAATTTGGAAATTAATTTCCTGTGGCTAGTCTCCACTCATTCACTTAAATTCATTTAACAAATATGCAGTAAACACCTAGTGTGGGCTGAGAATCATGCTGGATCATGGAAAAGTAGTGGCAAGTAGAATGTAGCTGCCACCTCCCAGAACTCAGGGGAGACAAGAAGAAGATCATCTGTTCATGATGTGGGCACTTGGAGCATGTGAAAGCCATAAGGAGATCTTTTTCCAACTATATCTGCAGAGGTATTAATTTTACAGATTACATAGGACCCAGAACTGGGGTATACCTGAGAATGTCCTAGGTAATGATTCCACAATCCAGTCTAAGCACATTGCAGATGGATCAGAGAGACAGGTAAGAAATGTTCATAATAACCTACTTCTGTCTTCAGCTTTGGTCTTAAAGAAATTCTGGTGCTTTTTTGTTTCTATCTCTAAATTACAGTCACTGGTCTCATTTGCCCAGCTCCTGCAATCCAACATGCAGGAACCGGACTACAGCATCCTTGCTGACTCACAGGACTCAGGCCAGTGTGATGATGTGAAAGTAAGGGCAGCTTCTCCAATACTGTGTGTAGAAGCTCTACAACCTATGATGCCTGTGGAAACTGCAATTTCTTCTCCCTGAGTACTAAGTTATCCCCGAGAGCTAAGTTCAGAATGTGGACTTTTTTTCAGTTATTATACATCTGTCTGATGGACCGGGGTCCTGGAAAGACACTTTAGTAAACACTGGATGAGGTCTATATTTTTGATTGTTGCTTTGTAGTAACTCAAAAATTACAGGGCCAGGGATTTAGCTTAGTGGTTCCGCAGCCTGCCTTGCACTCTGATCCCCAGTACCAAAAAAAAAAAAGGTGTAAAAATTGCAAAAAACTTCCACAAGGGTCTGTCCTTTTCTATTGCTATATCTTAGCTTGTGTCCACATTATCACTCTCCTTTGCATGCTTTTGAGAAACCTGAATTGACATAGGAGACTCCATTTCGTTTAAAACCCACCTACTGCCCCTTTAGAGACCACAAATTATGCTTATGGCTACCATAAAACTGACATAGCAGAAAGGGTTTATGAGGGTCACCTGCCAGATGTACTATCTCATCCCTACCTGAACTCAGGAATTTTCCTGTGAGAAATCCCACTCCTTAGCTAAAACATTTCGTGCTATTCTGGTTACGATAACAGGAGAGTCCTCCAACTAATTGTACCAGAAGTCCCAGATGTCTTAACTGTGCATTCCTTCTTGCTTCTATAAATGTGTTTTAGGCTTAGATAAAAAAGCTTACACTGAGGTAAAGGGGGAAAAAAAGAAGAATTTTTTTTTTCCTCTTTTCCTATAAAAACTGTACTCAATTTCAGCTTGAGACCTGACTCAGTGGCCAGTTCCACTGGAGGGTAGGTCCCGGCTGACAAAATAAAGTTCTTGTTTGTACTTTATCACCACGTTGTGTCTGGGGTAAAGGTCTCGCTGAGAGACTGGGCGCAGCACTTTATGAAAATGCTCCTTGAGGCACAGTACTCGGAGTGCCTCACTGTGTGGTTCTTAACCTTGGGTGAGTATTATAATGCTCTGGAGTGTTTTATTCCCTCCCAGAGTTGAATCAGATCAGAATCTCTGGTGCACGACCCCACGAGCAGCATTTTCAAAGCTCCTAGGCAAGTTTTTCTCACATCCATCTTCTGTGACCACCCCTCCTTTTCACTTCTAGTCTGAGAGCAGCCGTGAGCTCCCAGCACCCGTGAGAGGCTGACACCCAGGGAAGGTTTACGCCATGCTGCTGAATCCATCTAAATGCAAGGTGCTGGCTTGAGGAGATGGTATTTACTTATTTTATATGTGCCATGATAGCTCTCTACATAGGAATAGTTGGATTGAAAGGAATTGTGGCCAAGGCGATACTGTGAATAAACAGTAATTCACTGCTCGCCAGTAAAATGCCTGTCAAACAGCAAGACTGAAAAACTGGATTCAAACACAAAAACCTCCAAATTCTCAAGGAAATAAAATGAGAATCATCCATGGTTTTGTCATTGTACTGCAAGGCAACACAATGAAGGCACAGGAGCAGTGAAGGTGAAGAGGAAACGTGTGTGTGTGTGTGTGTGTGTGTAGTACAATTATGTGTGTTTACGTGTGCTTGTGTGTGCATACTTGTGTGCGTGTGCGTGCGAACACTTACCAAGCCAGACTGTGTGTGGGTGTAGCTATGCATTTGGGTTTGCTTGCTGCTCAATAAACAGACTATTTTAGTAGAAAACAAACAGGGAATTTCAGACATCCAAGTGTTTTCCCCAAATCCTCCATATGTTCTCCGTTTTCCAGAAAATAATAATCAGTACAGAAAGAACTGAGGAACATTTTAAATTTACATGCTATCCACTGAGTATGTTTTATGAAGCCTACTAGCAATGAAATAACTTACACGAGGCCATACCTTGTTAGTTTGTCTAATTAGTATAAAAAGCCCTGAAAAGAATTTCCAGTTGGCATTATTACTACACTGAGCTACCCCTTGGAGAGTGCTCTCTTACAATGCATGGGAACGGATTGTCTACCTCATGCAATTAGTTACAAAACAACTGGCATGTGTAATCAGGGGCAGGATTCATGAATGCAAAACACGTGTATTGCTCAGGGGTGGTTTGTTTAGCATTGCTTTTGCAACTTTTACCTTTCATTATTATGAACCGAGGGACTCTCCCTCTAAGAATTCTACTGTCAGTGAAAAGTATATGAAATGATTCTGTGGGTGAAAACACATTTGGCCTGATATATTCTGACAAAACATACACAACGCAGGCACAGTGAACATAGAGAAAACATTGTATTCTACAGGGAAATGCTGTGAGCCTCTTGATAGGTGGGGAGGAGATAAGTGTGAGAGAATTGTGGTAAATAAGTTTCTGTGGTGGGAGTCATGTAAGTGTGACTTCTGAATACAGACAAGGTCTCAATGTTAATTTCTATGCTGGAGATTAAAGTGAAATTTTGCTGATCAATGCATGTAACCCAAGGCCATTTTTTTGTTCCTTTAAATAACCCTGAATCACTGGGCATGGTGGCACATACCTCCAAGTACTTGGGAGGGTGAGGCAGGAGGATTTCTGGGAGTTTCAGGCCAGCCTGGGCTACCTAATGACTTCAAGGAAAGCCCGAACTACATCGTGAGACTCTGTCTCAATCAATCAATCAATCAGCCAGTCAATCAACCAATCAATCAATTCATTCTTCTCCTTGGATCTACTTGCTGCTTTTTACCCTAAACTTTTTGGACCAAGAGCCTGGAGGCAGTGGTGAGGGCTGCAGAGTTGACCTCTCTAGATCCCAAGTCTTTATGCCCTTTTTTTGTCAACTAACTTTATGTGATTCTATTAACTTTGGACACTGTACAAATTATTTTTCTGGTCTTTTTTAAACCACAGAGGATCACAAACACTATTTTTCCTAAGTAGACAATGTATATGGCCGGAAAATAAATATTGAGTAATTAAAATAGTGAATCGTAAACCATTCAGTAAGTTTTCCAACCACTTGTAGGAAAGGAATACAAAGTGGTCTGTGTCGGGAGGATGAGACTGCAAGTCAGAGCGCTTCAACATCAGGTACAGAGCTTGCCGACACACAGATTGAGGGGCCACCCCCAATTCGGACTCTGGGGGTCTGCAGTGGGTTGGTGACTCTGCATCCCTCACAAGGTCATAGGGAGGAAGCTAGTACAGCTGGCTTAAGAGTACATTTTAGGAACTACTGGCAGAGGAAAGGCCCGCGCATGACCAGTAGTCACAGGACAAAACAACTTCAGCCTGAAGGGATCAGAGGTACATGGAAGTGATCTGGTGTCATTGCTGGATTTGAGCCTATGTTCTCAAGGGCCCACCCTCCAACTTCTGGGGCAGCAGATGGAAGAAGGGAGAGATAGACAGGGTCAGAAATATCAAGAGGAGTTTTTTACTAAAGGTTTTTCTAATTGTTACTTGGAGGAAAAGACCGAGGCTATGGTGGTAACTATACTGATAAAGTAGCAGAAAAAGATTAAACAGTTTTTTTTTCTTGTTTTTCTCAAAAATCTTTATCAGCCACAGGGTAACAAATCTCAATCTGAATCTCCCAGAATACGTATCAGTTTTAGCATAGGAAGCAGGTGCCTAAAGAGGTTATCCCGTTTAAATAATGGCTCTGATCACTGCTGAGTCCCAGAGGAGCACCACTCAGGGAGGTGAATGCCCAGTCCTGGCAGGGAAGGCAGAGCATGATCCTGGGTAGATGTCACAGTGTGACAGGAATGGCAGAGAGGGAACAAGGGTTTTGCATGCAGCTCGATCTTTTCCTCACCTCCTAGAAACTCTCAAATTCCCAACATCTTTGCTCTCATCGCTTCATTATCATCAAATAATATTTGAGTTTACTCATGCCTTCTTCCATTTCACTCAAATTTTCTTCCTAACTTCTTTTTAATTCATGCACAATCTCCTGATTTTCGCCCTCTCTGGCTGCCAACAGTGATCATCGTGCCCACCCACTCTATTACAGATTTCCTTTTTTAGCAAGGGTATCTAATTGCAGCTACCAGGAACCATAATCCAAATTAGCTATTCTCATAGTCGAGGATCACTCACTGCATGGAAGAAATTGATCACACAATGATGTACACTCCAGTTATGTCTGAGGAATATAAAGCAATAACCAAAGGGAAATTTATAGATGCCTATATAAGGAATTAGGGAAGATTAGAGGGAGGGAGGGGGATGAGGGTAAGACAAAGAGAAAGAGACAGACAGACAGACACACACGCACTCTCATCTTCCTCCTCTGTGCACAGGATCACAGCTTTCCCTTGAAGAAGAAAATGCTAATGTTCTGTGGAGGCTGGTAATATTCACATAATAAGATCTGATTAAAAGAACCCTAACTAGTCTGGCTTCCTATTATAGGCCTTTCCATTCACCTTACCTCATCAAGACATCTCTCATACTGTTCTCTTTGATTTTCATTTTCCAAAGCCAATGCTGAGTTCTCTGCCTGCAGTAAGATACAAAAATAAGACAAATAAATCAATGAAATGTTGTGTTATGTGACAACTTACTCAATACAGTTACTAAATATATCTCCTCGGGATCCAAAATAATCTTTTTGAAGTGCCTTTGACAAGTCTGTTCTAAGTACTATTATAAACATCTCAGGGATGACTTCGGTCTTATCAACTCTCTCAAAAAAATACATTACAGTTTCAGGAAATGTAAAACTTGATATTCTGAACAGGTAGAAAATCAAATCATGGCTTGATGCAAGAGTGTTTTGAAGAAAGATTACAATGTTTATCTCATTCTATGAAAATATAAAGGTAAAAAATGCCTTAGTCCACTTCATTAAGACCTGTCTCATTCTCACAGCCCAGTATTTGTTGAGACCACAGAAAAATACGCCAAGTAAAGTCAGTAAAGCATGATTGCAAACGTAAACCGAACATGTTATTTTGATGTTAATCAATGGCTTTTAAAAGTAAGAAAATATTGAGAAAGGTAAGACTTGAACTATCCTTAAGCACCCCATTAATCACTGCTTTCACATCCCTCTATGTGAAAGGTCTATGAGAATGTGAATATTGAATATGGTTCCTAGGAGAGCGTGGATAATAGAAAGGAAGGAAAAAGTAATCACTATTAGTGCATTAGATTTCAGAAGGGGTATGAAATGTCAGCCTGAGATGTGCCCTCGGCAGCTGGTGAAGCAGTTCCACCGTGGCCCCGTCTGCATCTCGGAAGGGTGCGAGCCAGCCCTACCCAGGGCTGTGAGAATGATTGCTCACCCCGCCCTATCCCCCCAGCAAACTGGGCTCCGCTTGGCCCTTCCCTGAGGCCCTCCTTGACCTCTGGAAGTGGCACTCTAAATGGCTGCCTAGAAAGTATGGCACGTTTTTAGATGGTTCACAGAACGTTGTTTCTCTGTAGGTTTTCTCCATCCCTTTACACAAACATTTTATTTGGAAACAATTTGAAGCTAACAGACAATTTAAGAATAGCATAGAAACTCCCTCATACTTTTCCTCGGATTCATTAATCATCAACATTTTGGTACATCTGATATATCATTAACCTTTTCATTTTTTTCTACACCTTGAAAGGGGGTTGCAGACATTAACACACCTTGTACCTTTCACTACTTCCACTATTTCAATAGTATTTCAATACTTTCATTATTTCTGAGCAGCAAAGACATTTTCTGCAACCACAGTGTGGTTTTCTATTTCAGGAGGCACAGAGTTAAGACAGCATGACAATCTGATCTATGTCCTTCTTACAGTTTTATCCCTTGTCCCAATAATGTCTTTTATAGTAGATTTTTCCAATCTACAATCCTGTCCACAATCACACACTGCATTGAATTCTAATTATCCTCCCTCCACTATCTTTTAGACCGAAATGATTCCTATGTTTTCTTCCTAACTTTTCCTCCTCCCTTTTCTCAGGAGAAGGTAGTTATTGTGTAGACTGGCCTATAATCTGGGTTCATCGGAAGCTTCCTCATGAACATTTGACATGAACAGCACATACTTTATGTTGGATCTGTCACGGTTCATCATATGAGTTACATGATAGCCATAGCCCTGTTGCTGGATATGTGAACTTTCATCATGTGCTCAAAATGGAGTCTGCCCAACCTCTCCATGATAAAGTTACTATCTTTCCTTCTCCAATTAGGATGCAATTTCGGGTGAGATATTTTGAGATCATGAAAATTTCCTATTGCTCATTAAATTTTCCCTATTGTTTTAGCAACTATTGGTAATTTTTACCTGAATCTGTGATTCAGCTACAAATGGTGATCTGTAACTCCATTCTATCTACAGCATTGCCTATAATCTATAGGTTATACACTGCAAGCCCCTCACTGAGTCAGTGTAAACAATAATACTCAATGCTACATATAGTTACATGCCACATAATGATGTTTGATCAATGACAAACTGCTTGTACAATGATATTCTCATTATATCATATTGCCTAGTGACAATGTAACTGTCTCAGTTTGTATATGTATTTTATGTTTGCACAACAAAAAAATGCTTTAGCGGCAGAGTTGTGAGTTGGTGTCCCTACTAATAAGCCACAGAAGACTGTATACTGTGTATTTTCCTATGCATTTGTAGCTATAATAAAATTGAATTTGTGAATTAGGGACACTAAAAGATTAATGATAATAATAAAATTTAAAAATCATAACAATATAGTGTAATAATATCGCTAGCATTATTACCCTTTATCTTGGGTTACTATTAAGTAAAATAAGGGCTACATCACCAAAACCACTGGGAGAGTCCAACAATGATTTGTCAACTGAGATAGCTACTAAGTGACTACCGGGTAGCATATACAGCATGGATATGCTGGACTAAGAAATGATGCACACTCCAAACAGTATGGCACAAGATTTCATCATGTTACTCAGCATGGTGTACGATTTATCAACTGTTTATATCTGGAACTTTCTATTTAATATTTTCATATCACAGTCTGTTGTGGATAATTAAAACTGTGTAAAACAAAACCATGGATAAGGGGTCAGCACTGCACAGTTACAAATGTATTCTAGCATAAGGAAGTTCATTTCCTGTTGGATTAGTAGGTATACAGAGATTCTTACATTATTCAAAGGGTCATAACTCATTACCTCTAATATTAATTTTGATGCTCAAATTGTCCCGGCTTTGGATGGGCAAGCCACTTTATGCTGGTGTCTGTCTCATTTTGGCACACTGTCATCATATTATAAACTCTTTCTTGACAGAAGTAAATATTCCAGACCCATCTCACATTTTCTTTGCAGCATTCCTGAAATCGGCCATTTGTCCAAGATATATCACTTCCTTTGCTCAGCGAATGATATTTGGAAACCACAATCTGAGTGTTGCCTTGTGTATTTACTCCTGAGAAGCCACTTCTTCTACTTCCTTTTAATGGAAGGATTTGGTTTTTTTTTGTTTTTTTGTTTTTTTTTTTGCTTTCTGCACACCCATGAAAATGTACATAATTATTTTTTCTGCCCTCCCTTCCTGTTTTCATTGTCTACCTTCCTTTTCATATAGTCAGAACCAGGTCTCTCAACATCACTGTATTTACTGGTTTCTTCAATCCCACAAATGCGTACAAAATTGTTATACTAGGATGTTACACAGCAAATAAAAAGTAAGAGGAAGAGTTCAGCATTTCCTTTTCTTTCAGGATGATGTTTTGTTATAAAAATTCTGTGCTCAGAAGTTACTAGATGAGCTCTCCGCCCCGTCTATCATGTGGTTATGCTATTCACTTTGAATTTAGTTTACTTCATTTATGTCTGATAGTATTCAAATTTAATTTTCTCTCTTCTTGATTTCATCTTATTAAGTATGAGAAACATTAACATGATTCCAAAAGTCAAACCTATCCACCAAGGTCCATGTCACATGAGGTATCTTTGCTCTCCCACCCTATTCCTATCTACCACTTGCAGGTTATTTAGTAGCACTCATAAAATCAGGTTCTCTGACTCCCTCTCATAATTAGGTATCCAATAATCAACTTTTTCCTTTTCTCTTTTCTTTCTTCTGTTTTAGTTGCATTCTTTCTACTTTATCAGAGAATATTTGGTTCATATAGGATTATTTTTTTTCTCTTTGAGTTTACTGGTACTTTTTAAGGATACAGTACAGTTCCATTCATACCTGGGATCTTGTACCTTTACACAACAGGTCTTGGTTCTCATTTTTTCACCTTGTCCCTGCCCTCCCTTCATCCCCTCCTCCCCTCCTTCCCTACCAACAATTTAATTCCATTTTTACATTTTCTCACATTTTCCCCCTTTCCCTTATTCCCTTTCCCCTACCCTTCCCACTTTCCCTACACCTTTAGCCCTTTTCTTCCTAGTTCACATTGCTAATTATCCCATTAGGATCTTGAGTACTATTTTAGATTTTCACACCAGAGAAACTATTCAGTATTTACACATGTGTCTTATTTATTTCATTTAAGAGTACGGCCTCAATGTGCATCCATTTTCTTATTCATATAGGATTATTCCACCCTTGTCCTACTGTTGTTTTGGTCTCTTTCATAAACAATGATTGGGAAAGGTTGGTCTTGTACATTGTTATTTTTATCGCATTTTGAAATGTCCCCTCTTCATTTTTTTCCCCTTCACAACCACATCTCCTGTTGATGCCTTCTCTTTTCTCTTTATCTCTGTCTCCTCAGGTGTGTTACTTTCTGAGTCAACCACTCAGAGTCTGCACACTTGCAGGAGCCCTGCCTTACACCCAGCTCTGGATTCCTGCTGACCTTATGGTATGGGATTCTCTCAGGTGCGGTCCGCTCCCTGTGCTTTGCTCCTACTCTCATCCAATTTCACTTCCCGGGCACGCAGGCTCACAGTGCTAGTTCTGTGGGTATCTAATGTTTATTTTTCTACTTACAGTAATTTGCAATTTGAGGGTTCTCAGGCTTTTAATGACAAGGCACGGGTTATATGTGGTTTTATTTGTGTTTCTTGGTGATGTGCCTATTTTCTTTGGCAGAAACACGAAAAGTTTCAGATTTAGGACAGTTTGTTTCTTGACAATAAAACTTGAGTGAAGTGACTGAACCAGGATGGTAGAAGTAAACTAAGGGAAATAGCTAGAAAAAAGTCCACGTGAAGGTGCAACTGTCAACAGGATGAAGGATCAGACTATCTCTACCTAATCATAGTGTCAATCTCGGGAACATAATGCCTTGTTCTTAATTTTTTTTTCAACCTTGCTCCTGTGGACCTGCCTTCTGCTTTAGCAACCCTTCTAAGACTCCAGTCACATTCCTTCAGTACTCATCAGGACAGACACGTGCCATAGTCCATCCTTTTGCAATCAAGTTGATCATCTGTTTAGATTTTTAAGCACCATTTATCTTTACACTGTTTTCTTCATTTTCTACCCATGTTGGATTGAAAATTTTTACCGACTTGTTGCTGCTTCCTTCAAGGATGGCTTTTGACCTGTCACACTGAACTTC